CCAACTTACATAAGTTGCATTAATGTATTAAGCGAAGAACCTGGTAGAATGTTTTTGAACGCCCAAACGGTTTTACTAACAAAAGACTACAGGAATGTGAAGGTCACTTAACCAGAAGACAGATGCTCCAGTATGTGACCCGGCACTTAATCTCCCTAATTTCCGGTCAGTATTTCACATTGTGAGCCACCGAGGCGTGCATAAAAACGACTTTCTCCGCCTCTTTCCAGTGAGGCAAATTGAGTTTGCAGTCCGAAGATTTATTTGTGGGAGTTGCAATGTTAACAGCCCTATATGTAGTAAATAACTTTTCGCATTTGATAAGTTATTGCAAAAGTCCAGGGAGTCTAATGACTAGAAACAATTTGTATTCCAGTAGACTTCCGCCCTTCCCAGTAGCACACGTTTTCTGAGTTTGAGCGTTTCATACACGCGTAGCTTTTCGTAATATTGCTTCTATTAGTAAACTAATAGGAAGGTGGTGTTAGAATTACAAGACTGCTCCAAACTTTATTACCATCCGTTACAGAACCACTCTCGTTTATATTGGTGTGGACTGACATCTCAGCTTCGAGTTCCCAAAATTAGTTCCGCTTCTAAATCACGATTCATAAGAAAAGAATTTAGTTTCATCTTTCCTTTTCACAAGTTGTCAAAATTTAGAGACAACAACGCGTTGCCGAAAATGGATATATCCCGCTTCATATTCACGTTTAATAATCCACACAGACCTGTGAATTGTGTTTTTTAATCTTTCTCTAGTCCACGCTTCCACTAAACCTTTCAAATCTCAACGCATCTTCCCGAGAAGCCTATGGAGCGCAGTTCTATGGAGGACAACAGGGCGTCAGTGCGTATGACTACTACAACTACTATCAACAGTACTCGAGCCGTTACGCGTCGGCCTTTCAGCCTACGGGTTCTCACCATCACAACGTTAGCAGTCAGGAGTCAATCGCGAAGTCGCAAATGCCCTATGCTAAACCGTCACTCTCCACTCCTCTTACGGTCGCCGCCGGGTCAAATTATCTCTCCGCCCTTTCAGACGCTTCGACTCCAAACAGTTATGCAAAGGATCGGACAGCTGAACACTTCAGCACGGCAACTACCACTGCAAGTAAAACGCCGTCGTCAGGTCGAAAGGCCAAGAAGAGTCGGGTATCCGCCAGTAGTGGTGAGGACTTGGCTGAAGAGAAGAGGAAGGAATTTGAAAAGCTCGTAAAGGCCCGGACTGACAAACTGCTGTTTGATGGGCCAGTTTACACGG